TCACAATATGCAAACAAATTTCAAACTTGATAGTCATATATTTATGTATATTTAATAATCTCAACATAGGTATTCTTTTATTCCTCGGTATGACGATAAACTACCGCCAGCAGCAAGACCTCTAATAAGGAGATTGGAGTTTTTGAGGAGCGTGTAATCATTTCTTAATTGCTCTTGTTCCCAGGTTCACCTTGACACGGGGCGGAATTACCTATGAGGGTCCCAACTATGGGCAAATAGTGACCCCCACACCATCCAAAAAAAAAAACACTATGAAAGTATAAAAAATATTTTTTTATCGTAAAAATAAAAGCAATACATTTTTATATATATATTTTTATATACCGACAATGCATACACTCCGAACCAGGCTAATAACATGGTAGGGAAATTTAGGATTTCTTGATTTTCTATGAAATGATTTTGATAAAACTTTCCCCCCAGCTGTTTACACAATATGACAACGCCCTTGTTAGGTCTCCATTATTCTGTGTAACGTCCTTTAGTTTTTTTTTATTTCAGATACGACAGTTTTGCGGTGGACTAAGTTTAACTTTGTATCGAAAAGCGTCAACTTCCGATCGAGAGAGTTTCCTGGTGAATAGTTGTAAGTCCCGAGGTTGAAAAGTATGTAATAATAAATATTTGTCCTTATTTTATTGTTGTCTTGTTTACTTGGTGTTATTTAAGGAACAATTCAAACAAAGAGTATATTTGTTCAAATAAGTGTTATTTTAAGCTTTGATTAATATAAATATCATAGAAATAGTAGCAAGGGAGAGCCTGTATGGAAGATGTCACCAGAAATGTTGTTTTGATCTTTAGATATTGGAATACGGCAATGAAACCTCTCTGGGAGCATTTCGAAATATACATATATATCTCAGCACCGGTTACATAACTTTTAAAAATATTTCAGAGAGATTGAGATAGATAGATAGATAGATAGATAGATAGATAGATAGATAGATAGATAGATTCTGAAAGAGGTTGGATTCATCTCAGTAATTATGGTCTCCAAGTCTAGCTTATTAGATACTGTTCCATAATAAAAAAAAATTCCATAGATATATATGGCTGTTCCTTCTGGCAATATTTTTTTTTACTGAAACTACATTGCTAATCATATATCTACGAAAGACAGATGCAGTAAAATAATATTTACAGTTATATATATATATATATATATATATATATAGTGAATATTGAAGTCAACATTCAAAGGTGACAAACTGTTTCATGCTCAACGCATTCATTAGGCCACTCAATCATCAGGTTAATCATGTGGCCTGATGATTGCGTTTAGCACGAAACAGTCTGTCACCGCTGAGTGATGATTTCAATGTTGACATTTACATACGCTCCATCTCTGATAGTAAGCACTTTTACCCATAAATATAGCACATACCATAACACTATATTTCTTCATATATATATATATATATATATATATATATATATATATATATATATATATAATAAAAGGAAAATCAATCATCAATCAATTGCTGCAATTTCTTGGCTAGTTATAGTCCTATTCTTCGCAACTTCTTTCTTGATTACCCTGCCAGTTCCATCATCAATCTTTTTCTTTCGTCCCCTTGTTTCCTTCAATGGATCAGGAGGGACATCATTATGTGCCCTAACCACTCGAGAGACAGTTGATTGCGAGGTTATAGCAATTTCTGCAATTTCTCTCGTAGACTTGCCTGCTTTTGAGAGGGCCATAATAGATGCCTGAAGTGGTTCTGACGTGTGTTTGTACCCTTTCATCTGGTTAGTGACTAGAGTGGCTATTTCAAGCTGTTTTTATACTGTATGAGGCTTTCTGGAATATTCTGGAATACTCTAGATTTAATTTAAGCTGTTCTAGAATTTTCTAGAATATTGTTCTGAGTGTATTGTAAAATAGTTTTCAATATTTTGTCAAAAGATCTTTAAATTTATCAGTTTAATCATTAGAATGCGATATCTGAGTCACTTATTTTGCGCAGAATTTTTTCCTGAATCTCATTTATATCCAAATTTATAATTATCAATAGAATACCTTAGGGCGAATAAACGTTTTTACTAGGTGGTCGGGAAGGGGTCATTATATTAATAAGATTGAAAATTATTTTAACCCTAGAAACAATAGACAAAAATATTTTTAGTAAAAAAAAATCAGGTGAGTCACTTTTATCGAACACCGCTGTATATAAATGAAATAAATCCTAAAGAGCGGCGGTGGAAAAGTGACTGAAGCCAAGATGCCAGGTCAGGACCAATAGCAATGCAAATTCTTCTTTGACTCTGATCTCTGAGCACCAGAGTAGAAATGGCAGCAATATTCAAAGCAAGGACGAATAGTAGACTTATGAATATGTAAAATAGTTTCTTGAGAGAAAAGGAGGTTAACATCAGCCATTCTGATGGAAGGCAGAAAGGGTTGTCTCAGATGATTAATACACACACAATCACACATACACATACACACACACGCACACACACACACACGCACACACGCACACACACATATATATATATATATAGGATGCGATGGGTACATTGTCGCAATCTTATATTTTTAATTTCGCGCATGCGCGTTGTTTGTTTTTGATTTTGTCGACTACACAGTATAGTAACATCATTTGGCCATCGTCTGTGAGAAACAGACCACTATGACCTAATTCACTCGGCCAGAAACTTGGAAACGTCATGCTTCCTTCCTTGGCATTCGCGCCAGATCCTCCAATACGATCATTTCAGAGTGTCTGGGTGTTAATATGGTAACAGTGCAGAGGATTCGGAAAGAATTGGATGATATATCCGGTCAAAATCATGGTGTTTAGAGTGATCACTGATGATGGCGACGTTATACCTCCATTTATTTCCTCACAGGGGCTCAGATTCAAAAACGGTGACCTACATCAAGTGCCCTGAGGAGGTAGCGCTGCCCTGGGTCAAGGAGGTGTTTGCTGGAAGACACTATGTCTGGCCACAGGATACTTCACATTACAACGCAAGCAGGAAAACCCATCATGGCTGTCAAACAATTTCTGCGAAAACATCACCAGCTAACTCCCCAGACAGCAACCCCCTTGAATATTATGTTTGGGCTCCGAGATACCAACAAAACTCCCTATAACACCAGAAATGAGCTGAAGGCTCAGATAATGGCAGCATTCACTAACTTAAACAAGGAAACCATCTAGAAGAGATGCAGGAGATTCCAAAAGTGTCTGGAGGCCGTGGTTGAAGCCAATGGCGATTTTATTAAATACATTTACTTCTTAGTATTTCAAAATGTTTTTGTGTAATTTTGATAAATATATTTGTTAAAATGAGATGTAAGTGTTTCGCTCCTTTCGCTTAGGCGATCATGTATCTTTCGATATATGACTGACGAGGCAGATTTTTCCCGCAGTAGTTTGCCATTTCTTTCTGCGATAGACCAGTTGCCATCCAAGGCTATAAACCCCGGTCTACCCTGCTATTTACCTATAGCTGGGGGGGGGGAGAAAAATAGGATCCATACCTTTCTTTCATACATTTCTCACAACTTGGTTCATAGGATTGGTTAGCCACCATTGCAGCCACACCCGTCATCGTTATTTAAATTGAAGTACCGAGCGAAACGATTCATTAGATCCGGCGACTTTATCCAGCAGTCACATTTTTACTTCAATATGACAAATTTATGTGATATTTTTATTCAGGATGTGGGCGATCATGCATTTGCATAACTTCGTTTTTATTTCTCTAAATAACTCTTTACCATCTGTTTTTATTGCTCTAAATAATCTCTTTACCATCTGTTTTTTTTTTTAATTGAGTTCATTCCAAGCAAGGCAATAAAGCCACTAATACACAAGAGGTTACTGAATATGAAAGAATTAGAAAACAGAAACTTTATTAAGAAACGAGAACAGAAGAAAAGTAATCAGGAGGACAGTAGATAGCGATTGGCACTGCATTTAAATTTTTGTAGATTAAATTTGGAAGACATGGAGCTGGAAAGAAGTTCCACAAGTGAGAAGTGCGAGAAAAGAAACTTAGCATATAATTTGAGGTCACATGTAGCTATTTCAATTGTAAACTGATGAGATCTCGTCGCCAGTTCAAAACTGCGCTTAAATTCAAAACGTCTTGATAGCAAGAGCTTATCCGAACAATTACAATGAAAGTATGTATAGAATATATTTATATTCGATAGACTTTTTGTCCGTATGTTTTAGACTGTTGAATTAATAACTGAAGCTTCATAAATATGTATAAGCTCAGCATAGTCCTGCAAAGAACAAAAAAGACATGAGATCGGGTTCCAACAGTATTTCAAAAAGGGAATGTGATGCTTTGAAAATCAGAATTCGTGATATTATTTCCTATCTAAGGTCGACAAAGAGATAACTAATATTTACCAGATGGAGCTAAAAGTAGTAAATTAGCCTCTCTTTAGAAATCTAGCACAGTTCAAAATTTACAACTATTAGCCATACAAAAATAATCCTTTATTTGTCTTCACACGAGAGTAAAATTAATAGTGTCGATTTAACGTGCCTCATAAATTTTCATTATGATAAAAACTAAAATTTCCCAGTCTCCCTTCTAATTTCTTTTTTAAAAAGAAAGGAGCATCAATGATAGACACTGTTGTGTTCAGTACAATGAGGAAACTGCTGTACAGGGAATGACTTCTTGTGTTTTCAAAAGTGACTAAATCTGACAAGCTTTGGCAAATGCTATCACATCAAGCAACTAGCAAGCCTAAAAGGTGTATACTAATGGGAGATAGTTTTTCTCGTACATTTCTGTATCCCTTTTTCTTTTCTTTCTTTCTCTATTGTTAAATTTATTTTATGAATGCCTTTGTCTTTCAATCTCAAAGACATCTATTGTCCAACAGACATCAAAAGTGCTGATATGTTTGGTTCAGATGTTATCTTTCCTGATTTATTCTCTTCGTCATGAAGACAAGTGTGGCACAAAGTCGATTTATCATTCCCTGCCCCTTGTAGCTTATGGTGCACAAGTATCGGGGCGAACAACGAACCTCTCCACCCCCTTTACTGCAACAGCATAATCTTCTCAGATGTGACGGTAATGGTAAAAGCTTGGAATAAAAAAATCCGCAGACTGTTTTCGAATTCGTATAAATACACCATCTGAAAGGAATGAATCTTTTTTTTTTTCACCTACGTGTTAAATAGTAAAGGAGACCAGGCTCTCTAGCTTTGATTGAGAACCATTTTAGGAGAAGGCCGACTTTGAATTCAAAACCGTATCTGGGCCTGGCGAAGTACATGATCTACATTCAATGAAAGAATTATAGAGATTAAAATTAACTGCTCTACAAAATGGTTGGCACTCCGACTTCGGTGGATGAGATAGGCAAGATTCATTTTTACTATACTTCGTTTTCGGGTGATAGACGGAAAAAAAAATGACAAGATATTTTATTTGCCTGCTTCTACATTATGGTAAGTTTGACACAAGATTATAGCAAATTTAGAGCTCAGTAATGGCGTCAAAACTAGTCCAATTTCCATCTCACTTATTTTGGGATGTTTCAGCTACCAGGGATTAATTAGGGATTCATATCTTTTAGAACGGTGGTGAAGGTGCTGTCTGTTTTTATGGATTCCTGTAATAAGGCTTTGAGTCATTTCTGTCTTAGGTACCAAAAAAGTAAAGAATTTGATGCTATATTTTCCAAACACGATCGTCTTCAGATGGAAGCTGAATAGTGGCAAATAGAGGATTTATGGAGTGGATCAGTTGCTTCCTCTTCTTTCGAACAAATTTCATTCCTCAATTTTCCATTTCGCTTTCATTTTATTTCCCCCTATCTCTTGTGTTCTTTTAGCTTCTTCTCTATTGACATATTTTTTCTGTCTCTCATCTTTCTCTTTCTTTCTCACATTATCTTTTACTTTGTCTTTACTGTCACTCTTTTCTCTATTTTCTTTATTTGGATTTTTTTTTCCGTTTATCTTTCATATAGTCTCATTTTTTCTTTTCTTTTCTTTCTCTTTCTTTCTAGATATCTCTATCCTTTCTCTTTTTTCTCTTTCATATTTTCTCATTTCGTTTTACCTATCACTCTTATTTTCTTCCCGCCATGTTTTTCTCTTTAACACTCATTTTCAATATTTATTTTATTGCAAATTTCTTTTTAATTTTTATTTATTTTTCTCTTTCTCTTCTCTCTCGTTTTCTCGTTCTATTTCTTACAATCTCGATTTATTTTTCTTTTCTATCTCTCCTAATTTACCTCTTCTTTGTCTCTCTTTATAAGACTCTCTTTTTATTATTTTATTTTTCACGACGTTTTCCTTTATTGCATCGTCTCCATTGTTAACATACTCGCCTATTTTTAATTTTTATTTTCTTTTTTTCTTTCTTTTTCTCATATTTTCGGACCTTTTTATTTCTTTTTCTTTGTATTCTACCCAGTCTTTTCTTTCTTTCTCTTCTCTCTTTCTAATTTTTCTTTCTCTCTTTCTCTCTCTTTTTCTTTATTCCACATCTTTTCATACAAATTTCTTTTATTCTGTAAATTATTTGTCTTTATCTACGTCTGTCCAACTTCTTTTAGTCTTACTCCTCCCTTTCATCTATCTTTCTGTATCTCCCTTTCTTTCCTATATTCCTTTACTCTCTTCGTTTCTCTCACTCTATCTCTTAATCTCTCTTTCCTGCTTAACTTTCTTTTCCTCTTTGTTTCGTATTCTCTTTCTTATTCCCTTCCTCTTTTCTTTTTACTTTCTCTCTCTCCACTCATTTTTCTATTTAGCATCTCTTTTGCCTTTTGTTCTTCGATTTTCTTTATCTCTTTCTCAATCTCACTTTCGTATTTTCTTTCTCCTGTTCCTTCTTTCTTTCTCCCTTTCTTTCTCCATTTCATTCATTCATTCTTTCTTTCTTTCTCCTTTTCTTTCTTTCTTTCTTTCTTTTTTCTTTCTTTCTCCATGTCTTTCTTTCTTTCTTTTTTATTTCTTTCTCTATGTTTTTCTTTCTTTCTTTCTTTCTTTCTTTCTTTCTTTCCCCATGTCTTTCTTTCTTTCCCAGTTCATTTTCACTTATCTTTCCTTCTTTTCATTTTCAACTTTGCCATCTGACATTTTATTCAATTTGCCTATCCTCACCAGATTCTTCTTCAACCAGTTTTTATATTCTTCATATTCGCTATTTCTCTCAGAATTTTCAGCTTTTATCCTGAGGCTGTCTTCCCAATTTGACTCAATATATTTAATGAAAGGTCTTTTATCAAGCACACTATGTTCTTCTATATCGATAATAGCGTAGTCGGTTGTCAGAGGGCAGCACATTTCTCGATGGACATTGTTCGGTCTGTGCAAGGAAAATATTCGTCTTAGACGTGAGATCCCGTAAAACATTGAAAAGATTGTCCATTAAGACGCTTAATAACAATAAGCAATGGACGAAATTAGATTCTAAACGCAAATTTGACTGGTTAGGAAAAGTTATCTTTTGGGATTTGCGCAAATGATGCGGATTTGACCTTACAAATCAACACACATGAATGCAGAAAATTCTTTTGGGTTTGAAATTGACTCTAAATGTCTGATCGAGATATTGAAAAAAAAATGGAACTCGGTTGTTAGTCGATGATGATATTTTCAGACGTAAAAATTTGGAAAATTACAAAGACATTGCTTGAGAACTGAAATAAATTTTGTTGTCCGAGTTATAATCGCGATTAAATTTGACCATAATATTTCGGTCTCATATTTGCACCAGTGATCTTGGCCAATTTATTTATACTTGAACCCCTCTCTATCTATAGGTTAAATTGCAGAGTAGACTTCTCTCTCTAGCCTTGGGTGGTAACCAATCTAAGAGTAGGAAAACTTTGTATACAAAACTATGGAGAAGTGAACAGTAACACACGCCAATATTTTTCACAAGTTATTGTAGTGGACAGATAATAAAAAAAAGGAATCCATGGACAACTGTGTAGGTTTACCTTCTGAAGGTACATGGCACTTAACATAATTCAGGACCACTAGAAATGTCGATTCTAGAAAATTCCAATAGACGTTGCAACGAAGTTGAACTGGAAATCCGATGTAGACTCGAAAGCATTTAAATATCAGCCTCAATACCAAGAAGAGAGTTGCAGTGTCAAAAAGACTTGTTGCCGCTTGATCTCCAGTGAAAATCACTAATGGTTTGAAAACCCCATCTGTACAAACAACAACAACAACAACAACAACAATAATAATAATAATAATAATAATAATAATAATAATAATTGAAGGGAGAAGACATAGAAGATAAGATGAAAATAGTCTTCATTTGGACAACGAGGAAAAACGTTTTTGTATGCCAGCTTTAACAATTGACTCTGTGGATAGAACTGGATTCCCACGATAACATGCTTAACACTAAAAAGTGAAGTTTCAACAAATCAATACCACTTTGGTAAGAAAGAAAAGAAAGACGATCGATACTTCATGCCTCTATAAATGTAATTGAAGTTCTTGCTGAAAAGCAAAACGCGCGTTTTATTAGAATGTGTGCCAAATGTGTTATGCGCAGAGCAAGTATTACCGATTGTTGTGCGCATGTCACTTTACTGGTGGGGGAAAAGCAGATGATTAATGATATTCATATGTGGGGTTCATGGTGGGCCTTATGACAACTGGGAAAAGATCTTCTTTATTGATGAATGTCATCAGTTTGGCTCCATTGACAGAATCTTTAACTTTCGTTTATAAAATCTGTATTTTGCGTTCATATTCTGATGTTAAAATGCTTGTAGAACAATAAGTGTTTATTTTATACACTTCATTTTTTCGAATTATACAAGACGAAGATGAGCTCTTTTGAATAGTGCAGCTTGATTTGTATTCCTTTTATACGAATGACGATCACTTTCCTACAATAAGATGTTTACTAATATTTTTACGTATGGAAAATTTTCGTGCGCCATATTTTTCACCGTGCTAGGGAAATCGTAGAAGCGTGTTTATTGATTTAACAATTAATTATTTGTATGTGCCGTCTAATCCATTAGAATATTTGCGATGCCAGGACAAGATTTCCGATGAAGTTAAAAAAACAGTCACGGGAAAGCATTGCAATATATGTTCATTAGTTCTTGATTAAATCAGAGAAAAATTATGCCTGGAATAAATAGCAATGATGACGATAAATATATTTATTGCAAGAATCGGGCCTGAAGAATATCAAGACTATATTTAAAATGGCCGTCAACATCTCAACCTAAAACCTCAACTTATCTCTCTCTCTCTCTCTCTCTCTCTCTCTCTCTCTCTCTCTCTCTCTCTCTCTCTCTCTCTCTCTCTCTCTCTCCCCGTCGAGTTCGACCACGAACTAATTATCTGCATGCCTATGATGGACATAAATTTTAAGACCAGCTTGAGAATTGCACAAAAGACCACAAACAGTGCAGGAGAATGCATTGTATTCAAGGGCAGCAGGAACACTGTTTATTGTGCTTCCTCGTTTCATGCAAACGACTGATGCTTACTTCTCAGTGCAGTTATATCAATGTTGTACTTCTTTAGCTCCAATGCGACCAGAGCTGTTTTTTTCTGGTGCTGAGTTGTTGTCTTTGAGAACTCGTACATTCCAAGTGCCAAGATGAAGTTTATGTTGTTCTGTAGAGTTGTTCGCAGTAGCCGGATATGTGTGGAACTAATTAGATATAGTTGTCAGAAAACCGACTTTTTGGATCTGTCGATAAAAAAAGTAATGGTGCAAATTATAGTTTAAAGGCAAGCTATATTTATGGGTAAAAGTGGTCGATATCAGATATAGTGTATATGTAAACCTAAAAATGGACACCGAGGTCAATTCCGTGCGCTGACAATCTTTTTCATTTTTATACCAAATTTTAAGGCCAAAATATTCAAGCATGAAACAGACTATCCCTCTTGCTATTGACCATATATATATATATATATATATATATATATATATATATATATATATATATATATATATATATTTGAGGCATCACAATAATATCCTGAACTAAAGAAAGGGGTTTGAATTAACATGAGGTGCCACCTGACCATATGCCCAATGCAATTGGATATGTCTGTCCGGTGGCGGGGCTGCTCAGTCACCAGCGGTCACATTAACACCAACAGCCTAATATATATGATGATTTTGTAATGCGATGCTTTGAATGCCCGACCTGCATTAAGGTCTGCAAGTCTAGGTAAGGCCTGACAAGACATAGAAAGAGCACATTGGAAGTGATGATCAAAGTCTACTTCCACCACACAGGGATGATTAGTTATGTCACATATGTGACAGGAAATGCAGATCGATGGCTGATTTTATGAGCCACTGTCGTTCACACAACCGATGAATGCTGTGTTGTACATGGGGAATTTAAGTGAAGGGGTGGACCTGTCAGTGATGCTAATACTCTCTTTGCGAGTCAACAGGCACCATATATATATATATATATATATATATATATATATGTGTGTAGTAGATAGATATGATAGATAGATAGATAGATAGATAGATATGATAGATATGAGTAGGCTTAGATAGATAGATAGATAGATAGATAGATAGATAGATAGATAGATAGATAGATAGATAGATATGAGAAGGCTTAGATAGATAGATAGATAGATAGATAGATAGATAGATAGATAGATAGATAGATAGATAGATATGAGTAGGCTTAGATAGATAGATAGATAGATAGATAGATAGATAGATAGATAGATAGATAGATAGATATAGAGAGAAAGCGGACAAAGGAATCAACACTGTGAGTTGCACACATCAATGCGATCTATAGACCAATTCTCTCTCTGATGATCGTATTAAACAAAAAACTGAGAGTCACCTTCTTAAGTCCAAACAGTCTATGTCTATTAACACTCTATCTCCTATAGTGAGAACTCCTTTTGAATCAATAAAATTTCACACACACACACACATATATATATATATATATATATATATATATATATATATATATATATATATATATATATATATATATATATATATATATATATATAGTGAATAACCGCATATCAAAATTAAAAATTTCAAAGTAACGCGTTTTGTTTCCAGAATGAACTTCTTCAGACTAGTAATAGTTTTATTAATGATAACACGTGTCTGTTTCATATTACCCCAAATATTATTTTAGTTTGTATCCATATTTAAGTAGACTCCACGTAAATTACTTATACTTGCCAGCGCATTCGGGAGCTTAATTAAATTCTGGATTCTCCGGGTGGATTGGAAATTGCTACCCCCCCCTTTTGTAGTACAAACCACCATGTAATCCGGTATGCTTTTGAGCACCCAGACACTTTTCGATTCGTATCCGTAATATGAACAAAAAAAAAATTCTTCGAAATTAATGAATTCTTTTTTCAAACAGCAATTATTTCTATATCATTATCAAGAATCTTTATTTTATTTCTATTTTTATCTGAATATGTAGATTTTTATATATGGGTATCTATAAGGATGAGAATCTTTTCCAAACACGGTCAGCCTCGTTGTGGCCATGTTCATACTAGATACTACAGAGTGCTGTCTTGACACGTATATATATATATATATATATATATATATATATATATATATATATATATATATATATATAAAAATTAAATTAAGTTAATTAATATAAATATATTAAAGTTTAAAATTCATTTTTTATTCTAAATGATAAATAATGTAAGTTTGGTTTTGTAAGGTTTTGCATTCCTTCTTTGTCCTTACGTTCTATGGATAATTTTGTTTGAATTTGGGATTTCATTAAAAATGCCATAAAATTTGAAACGCGACGTTGTAAGTAGTGTTGACGTTTCATTTCCGTTCAAATTTGAATCAACATCTTCTCATATGTTATTTTCTTAACTATCCTCTTCCTTTGTATCTGTGTAATTTTGAATCTACTAATCTCTTTCTTTTGTCTTTTCTTCTTCCTTTTCCTGTTATCGATTTCTTATTTTCTTTCATTTTTTCTTTATAAAAATCCTTTTTACCTTCTACTGAAAATTTTCCAAAAACGGAAAATGGGTTGATGTTTCATAAATTGCAATTTTAAATAAAATCCTTTGTTACCATCATTGTTGAGACGTTGTTTATTAAACGTCGAAACAAAATATACAATTTTGTCTGTCTATATTTCTGAGATGAGGTATTATGTATATAATTTACATTATTCGGACTATTTTCCTCATCTTTGTCGCCATATTTACTACGACACTTCGGCAGTTGTACGCCCCACCCTTCTTCAGGTAGTTGGAATATCGAACTGAACCGTTTATTTCGCTCAATGGGGTAAACTGTTCTAGTTCCACGTGCCATGTTTGATGTCAGTTATCAGTTATTTTCTGTTACTCCCCCTCTGAAAGTTCTCCACTGCCTTAACCTGTCACTGGATCTAACTAACGCCTTTATCCACTGTGCCATGTGTCATTGAGGACATCTGGGTATGAATCTCTGAGTATTATAAACCTTCAGCAACCATTTTTATCAATACTTCAGCCGACCAAGCATAGAAATGAATACAATATGGGAACCAGTAATAAGGAGTGCCAGAGAAAAGCAATGATAACAAGAAAGTTGCAATATGAGCTCTGGTAAAAACACGAAATGATAACAGCAAAAATTGCAATATGAGTACTGGTTGTAATAAATATGGCGACAAAAATGAGGACAATAGTCCGAATAATGTAAATAATGTATACTTACATGTTCTGTATTATATATATATATATATATATATATATATATATATATATATATATATATATAGGAAGAAATATAGTTTGAAGGTGTTCTGCTATATTTATGAGATAAAGTGCTCAATATCAGAGATAGAGCGTATGTAAATATAAATATAAAAGTTAACATTGAAGTCAACACTCAGAGGCGACAGGCTGTTTCATGCTGCACGCAATCGTCTAACCGCCATACACACACACACACACACACACACACACATATATATATATATATATATATATATATATATATATATATATATATACATTTCAATTAAAAGGTGCAATTATTATTTATAAATTCATGAAACATTCATACATCTATATTTGTTTTTTGTATGAATGATTCATGAATTTATAATAATATATATATATATATATATATATATATATATATATATATATATATATATATATATATATATGCAGATAAATACAACAAATTCTGGTTAAATAAACATTCTATTTTGCGTTAAATATGAAATAATTAGGGTAAATTCAACGCCAAAGAGAAAGTCCGTGAAATATTATAGAATAAACAAGGAAAAAATCAATTAAATCCAACGAATCGAAATCTATGATCCAAACCAACCCTATCGCAACTACTATTGAAAAACATTAACTAAGATTAACATAAAATGTGTTGCAACTACCTCTAAGACAATTAGAGATTTAATTAATAGAAGGAAAAATAATAATATAAAATCAAAACATGTAGTATGAATATACTCTATTACCTGTAACGATTGCTACAAGCAATACATCAGAGAAACTACAAGGAATTTAAATTATTATATTAGCACGAAAGAGACATTTTATAAAATAACACGCGCAATGCATTAGTTTCTCACTGTAATGAGTCTGGCCATAATTTTGATTTAAATAATCCTGCTTTAATTAAAAGAGAAAGCAATTTGCTAAGACAAATGTGTTTAAAATGTGTTTTGATAGCTAAATTATCCATGGTAAATTTGCGTCGAAGTTCTTAAACTATTTCAACTTTCTCAGTGCCGTTTCTATTATCACAAGATCAGATACTTAATTAAAAAGATAAAAAGAAAAACATAAAGAAAGTCAATAAAAACTGCACGACAACATGACCAGAAACCTCTGAAGAAAAAAATGGTTCTAAATTTACAAAAGGGTTGTTGCAAACATTTATAAAAGAAATTTTTTTATCGGTATATCTATTCTTAAAGAATAACAGTTCCATTATTTTTCAATATATTTTCTTCGGTTATCTAAAATAAAGTTCCCGTTTTTGATTCGATTAATTTTTCGAATTTTCAAATTTTTAACTTGAAAGATTTTCATAAGAAAAGAAGATGAAAGTTCAGGATGTCGCATGATTAAGCATTTGCCATGATCGCTCAAGTTCCGTTAAATCCATAGTAGACAGTCCTACTCAGAAAAGACCGTTTCTTCTCCAATGCACCATTCAAACCAGCAAGTTGCTTCCAAATTGTTTTCAAATTGACTTTATTTAGGCTTCATACTAAATAATGCATACGAAATGGAACCAAACATAAGAAACATTTCACCCAGAAGATTCTCTTCAGGCTAATGTGCAGAAAACTGTCTTAGATCTAAGCAAAATCTAATATCCTGATCAGTTTTCGATCAGGAAGAGA